ATTTTCGTTCAAAGTTTACTATTAAAAAAAAGATCGACGAAAAATCCTTCTTAATAAAAATTTATATATGTGATCGATTATGTTTGTAAATCATATGATGTGGGACACCCCATTCTGACATGGCTTGCAGTACTCAAAAGTAGTGTAAAAGAGCATATAATGCATCTGATTGTTTCCTGGTTTTTCTGTTTATAGTTCAATATTTTAAAAAACCACAAAGTGAACATAAAATGTATACATGTATAAAAGTAATTGATATAATAATATGAAAAAGTAATTGATTTTTGAAAATATTATTGATGATGGTGATGATGATTACAATGGTAATAATAATATTATTAAGAGTTGAAATAGAATTTCTATGGTACTAGATTGTGATAAACACTTGTAAGAAGGGTAGCAACAGCATCAGGCAAGCATACTAACTGAGTTTTTAAACTAGAAGATAATATTTTATTTACGATATATATGAAAGTTTTATTATTAAACATTCAATAAGGTTATACAATCATGATGTGATTTTATTTAACTATTTCTACTACCTCTACTATTACCTCTACTACCTAATCTTTGTATCAACTCGAATTCCATATTCTCTTCCCTACAAAAATCCATGTATTTCCGGATCCCGTGACCACAGTATATTCAAATTTTGCAATGATCTTCAAGCCAACAAAAATTAATTTTTGATAATCTTGTATAAATAATAAATATTAACAATTACTTTTGACAAGTGGTAAAAATGTCTTCTTCTACAATGGAAATTGATAAACCTTTGAAACGTTCAGGTGGAATTTCTATGGATGAATTGGGTAAATGTTTATTTTTATGAGGATAACAAAAAACATTAAATAATGACAATCAATAATGTAAATAAAATAGGTGATGAATCAATGAATTATGAATTATCCGAGTCGTCAAAAAAAGCTCGTGACGAGCATCAGGCAATATTAGATGAATTTGAAAGACAAAAACGAGCAAGAACATTAGCGGTGCCTACTGATGATGGTCGTGTAAGAGCAAAACTTAAAGAACTTGGTGAGCCTCAATGTTTATTTGGTGAAGGTGTAAGTAAGTTTCCTTTAAGTATATGAATTAACTTGTTAATTAATAACTTTGTTGTTCGATTGAAGGATTAATTGATTGAAGAATTTATTATGTGATTAATCAAATTTCATATTAATTATTATGTAAATATTTTTATGAGTAAATTTAGCCTGGTGATAGACGAGATCGTTTACGATATCTATTATCTAAAATGGAAGGAACAAAGGTAATCACAGAGGGAGAATCAGAATCGGAATCGGAATCAGAAGAAGAGGTATATATATAGTTTAATAGAAAGAGATTCTTTTGTTTATAATTTGAATATTTACAAAACAACATACTTAGCTCATGTTTGTAAAATCAAGAAAGAAGAAGAGTTTTTCACACCAGGATCAATAGAACTGTTAAATGCTAGACGTTGGATAGCACATTATTCTTTACCAAAGTAAATAATTTATTTATTTTTTAAAAGAATATGGATTATTGATTATAATAATTGTGGTTGTGTGGTAATTTTATGTTTAGAGCTAAAGATCGGCTGAAAAGACAAAGGATTGAAAGTGAATTACCAATACCTCAATTAAAATCAGTTAGAAAAGAATTATTTTCAGGGATAAAGGTATGATAATTACCATATATACCAATTTATGATATTTTCTTGATACATAGATTACTTTTATGAATGAAACCAATTAACAAAATATTGACATTATTGCCATGATGATGAATTGGATAGTCTTATTCAAATTTTAGTTCCCAAATTGGGGATGACCGACCTATATCACAATGTAATTTTTCACCAGATTGTAGTATGGTAGCCACAGGATCCTGGTCAGGATTATGTAGAATTTGGAGTGTACCAAATTGTGACTCAGTAATAACATTAAAAGGTCATTACTACTACTACTAATAATAATAACATTATTATCATTAGTATTGTTCTTATTTATTATTGTATAAAATTTTATTTAATTAGAGTGATATATTGAATTGTTATATATGTATATATATATTTATTTATTTATTTATTTATCTATTTAGGACATACTGATCGAGTTGGAGGAATTGCATGGCATCCAGAATCAACACTTTCAATGGAGAGTAATTTGGTAAATTTAGCATCAGGAGGAGCAGATGGATTGATTCATTTGTGGTCTTTGGAGAACGAGAATCCATTAAAAACACTTCAAGGGCATACAGCTAGAATAGCAAGAATTGACTTTCATCCCTCTGGGCGGTTTCTTGGATCAGCAAGGTTTACTATATACATTTTACTTAATAATATTATCAAGCAAGGTAATAATTACTATTATTACATATTATATAAGTTTTGATTATTCTTGGAGACTTTGGGATGTTGAGACAACAGAGGAGTTATTGTTACAAGAAGGACATGCACGAGAAGTCTATTCAATTAGATTTCAATGTGATGGAGCATTAGTAGCAACAGGGTAAATTAATAAAAAATTTTCCTTCAAAAAACAATAAAAATGAATTCATATTAATACAAACACACACATATATACTTTAGAGGATTAGATTCTATTGGAAGAGTATGGGATTTGAGAACAGGTAGATCTGCGATGGTTTTAGAGGGGCACGTAAAAGATGTTTTGTCTGTAGACTTTTCACCGAATGGGTATGTATTATGATTAATATATTTATTATGTATGTGATATAAACCATATTTATTTATGAATTATTTCAGGTATCAACTAGCAACAGGAAGTGCGGATAACTCTATTAGAATTTGGGATATTAGAAAGTTGAGAAGTGTATATACTATACCAGCACATAAGTCACTTGTATCAGATGTAAGGTTTTTCCATGGATCATATTCATTGATGAATGAGGAGTTTAATAATGGGGTGAGGCCAACAATATCGGGACTGTATTTGGCAAGTTCAGGGTATGATGGACTTGTTAATATTTGGTCATCAGATGATTGGACTTTATTGAAAAGTTTGGCAGGACATGATGGCAAGGTTATGACAGTTGACATATCTACAGGTTAGGTTTTCCCATGATTATGATTATTATGATTATTATGATTGATAATGGCAATATCAATAAATATTTATAATAGGTTCTTACTTGCATAAATATATATATATATGCATGTGCGTGTGAAATTTAGATAATAGATTCATTGTCTCGTCTGGTTTTGATCGAACATTCAAGTTATGGGCCAACGAAAATATTGAAATTTAATGTATACTTTTATTTATGTTGTTTGGAAATCATATTAAAAATCATTATCGTTATGAAATTTATATATTTTGATTTATATATCAGTGAATTAATAGATTTAAAATTATTCATCTCTTGGAACAGGTAATCCACATGGTTGTAACATTTTCTAGTTATCCCACAAAAAAAAATAGATAGTTTAGTAATTAGTTATACAAGTAAAAATATATATATATATATATATATATATTTAATTTACCTCAACAAATTCGAATTTTACTCTTGCAAGACATTCATTCTGTGATACAGCAAAGTAAGATATCAAAGCATGATGTCCAATATATGAAGCATAACTGTCACGATGTTGATTCACTAACCATTCACTATAATCAAAATCAATGTTAGTAAATATTTATTAAAAAAAAATGAATTGATGGACAAATTGATGAAATTTACTAACAATTTGTTAGTGTCAGCATGTCCAGTTCCAACATATTTTGATTGTACTAAGTATTATTAATATTAATAGAATAGGATAAAAATTGGCTAATTAATATACTTGTTATTTATATTATGTTTTCTGTAAAATAACTTACAATGTTCAAGTTGACTATTGAGATTAAACCGATCCTACAATATTATTTGTTATTCAAAAAGAAAAAATGTATTTATTAATTTATATGTTAAAAAAGTCCATTATTATTTTTGTTAAAGAAAATAAAACTATACCATTTAGAAAAAGTATAGAAAAATGTTTGGGATTGGTGGAGATTTTTTTGTCTTATACCAGTTTGTCATGTGACAATATCAGGATTTCCTACGTACTATAATATAGTTGGAATTTTTATTATGCAAGAAGTGCATCACAATAAAGTTTAGGTCCCAGTCTATATATATATATATATATATATACGTAATCATCCTTTACTTCCATTAAAGTCAGGTGATAACGAAAACACGTGCAACAATAGATTTTTATTATACTCTGAAATTTTAGATTTTCATACAAAGGTTTCTTAGAAAGGTTTCTTGGAAAAGTTTATTGGAAAGGTTTCTTGGAAAGGTTTGACAGATTCAAATCTACTACACAGAAGGCTTATTTAAGGATATACATATACTGTATGATAAATAAATAAATAAATAAATAAATAAATATCTTAAAAAATTTTTAATCTTTTTTTTTTCCTTTCAACAAAATAAAAAATAATTATTGAAAACCTTTCAATTGAAACTTCATTTATTACTCATATTTAATATGGCTCCAAGTGCTTCACACCTTATGCCTTCAACGGAAATTATAACAACCAACACACTTATTGTTACCAATCTTGACCCTTTAGTATTTTTAGCAGGGAATTTTATGAAAATTAAAGCAAAATTTGAACAATATGGGTCAATATATAAATTAATTCCAATCAAATCATTTAATCGTATGTTGGTGATTTATTTTCAAACTTTAGATGCAAAAATAGCCAAAATTCATTCCGATAAAATGATTTTTATGAATAATGTTATTCGAGTTTATTATGGACTGGTAAATATTTTACTTTAAAAAAAAAAGAAAATTGATTAATTATTAACAAATTTAAATTTTCTCTTATTATTATTAATAGCATACACCAGTTTATGATGATGAAACAGATAAATCGAAACATCATCTTAATATACCAGTATTAGAAAAAAATAGGTTAGATTCACCACCAGGATCACCAAAAACCTTAGTTGATGATTTAGGATATAAACTTGTAAATATTAATTTAAATAATAGTAATAGCAATGGTGTTAATGTTGTTGATACACACAATGAAGATTTTTCTTTAGACAATAATAATGGAGGTTTCAATATGACAAGTTTACAATTTACATCACCACCACCACTACCACCACCACCAATGACAAAAATACCAATCCTAACAATTATACCAAATGATTTAGGAGCAGATAACAGTCACAAGGATGATGTTCCTATGATTTTTGTCCAAGATTGGGATGACTCATTATCACCATCTACTTCATTATCATCACCATCATTATTATCATCAATCACATCAACATCAAGACCATCAATCATCTATTAAAAAATCTTTTTTTTGATCTGTTATTGTTGTTAGAAATTAGAAATTTGTATAAATTAGATGTAGTACGTTGATTTCAATTCAGATAATTGATATGATTCTTTATCATCCGTAAATATGGATATAGCATTGTGGCTATATAAGCACAGAAGGATCTGAAACATTCTTATTCTTAATAAAAATAATTTTACAAGTGAATTAATTATATTACGACTTTTGGACAGTTGTATAATTCGTAACATACACTAAAAACTTTATATTCTATTTATATATTTATCCTATCATTTAAAAAATTTTTTTTACCGAACTGGATGTTGAAAGGATTGATAACAATAACATTATTTCTTTCTCAAATAATGACACATGGCATCTGATATTTTTTATTTGACTTTGATTAAGTTGTTTTATAGTATCGCGATCATTCTAACTCTTCCTTTTGCCAAAATAATAAAAGCTATCCGATGAAAAATCGGGGAGCGAGATTTTATTGAATTTATTGCATTAGCTTTCTTCATTTTTGAAGAGCCCAATTAAAGCCTTTTCTGTGTTCAAATGTATGTAGGCATCTAAATGGACGTCAGATCCCTGGCATCAAGAAGAAAGTCGCGAAAAAAATTTTTTTCTTTTCGTTACTTTTAATATTATGATGTTTGTTATCATTTAACCATTTGAACATTTGGGTTCGAACTAAATTTGATATCCACATTTCCAAAAAATTTCGAATTGTACGAATCAAGCGAACCATTTGAATATTTGTTGCTTAGCTTTTTTTGAATCATATCTTCAGATTCGCAAATTAATGGTAATAGTATGATATTTCGTCACATTGACATTTTGAGTTTTAAAAACTTGTTAAAACATTATGTGTTTGCTTACGAAAAATTTCAAACAACAACATCGAGGTTTACTCAAGACGCGTATTATCATTAATGTTGCAAGCTGACTGGAGAACTGTTAGTCGACTGGATTTTTCTAATTAATTAAATCGCTTAAATTTTTTAACAAAGTCGTCGAACTTTTCATTAAAAAACCAATACAAAACACGTCTTTTCATCTTGATAAATAATTTTTATTAATAATTTTACTGTTTGTTTAAAAGCCAGTTTTGGAGTAAAAAAAATCCACAAAAAAACATTATAAAAAAAATTATTGTTTTCTTTATATTAATATTATTATTTATTTGTTGAGGAAAAAATTTATTTATTCTAATGATTAAAGAGTTGTTATATGAATAATAAATTACATATACATATGTATATACAAAGAATTTAATAAATTTAAGAAGTTACTCCAACCTAGGAACAGCAGTCCATATATTGCACAAACACGTAAATTTTTTCTCCTGTTACACGTATTCTTTCGCGTCACAGCAAAAATGGTTTCCGAACAGGGTACAATTTAGATAGATCTATCCAAAGAGCCAATGATTTATCTTTATTGTTTTGCATTTTTTTTAAAAGTAAATGGTGGTGATGGTATTGGCGAGAGTCGGATTAATGTAATCGATGAGAGAAGGAATTAAAAGGGAGAGGAGAGAGGATTGGTAAAAAAATTTTCTAAATTGATAAAAGTTTAAAACTTAGTATATACGTTGAACTCATTGAAATTAAATAAAACAAATAATTATTATTAATATTAGATAGATTACATTAAGATTCTTTTGTTTTTGTTTCTTCCAGCTTTGACGCATCTAAAAAATAAAAAAAGGTGGAGGGTTAGCCAAATGCGGAAATAGCTAAACGAATCAATTTTCGATGAGCTGAATCCTCCACCCACCCCCTTGAGTTTCCTCCATGAGATTTGCCCATGTGCCCTAGGACTAGCGTTATATGATAAAACCCCTCCACTGGGTATTAATAACCAGATTCGTGTAATAAGTCTAAAAAGCAACCTAGAACATCAAAATGAATTTTGACCAGATGCAACTTCCCATTCCACTTGTTCCGCAGACGTGATGACTTGAATTACACACCCTGACATTATTAAGCACCCTCTACGCACCTATCCAATAACCTATGAACTAGAACACCTCTACCTGATTAGGAGGCTCGAGAAGGTATGGGCAGTCGGTAACAATTCTACCAATTCCATTACTGAATTTTTTTAAAAATGAAAATCAACTCACATTGACAAGATGATGTTCTTTTTTTAAAGGATGTGATTCATCATAACAAGATTATCGGTCGTACAACATTTCACGGTTACTGATTTACCATATGATCGACACGGGCACGTTTTCTGTATAATGAATTATAATTAATTAAATATAAATTTATTATGAATCAATTTTCACTCTCCAAGTAAAAACAACCACGCACCTATGTTCTTTAAAACGCGATCTTTTTATATGCCAGTAGCTCTGCTGGTTACGGAATAACGGCTTCTCTTTGTTTTTTTATTTTCTTTTCACCAATACCAATAATTTCTATATACAAATTATCAATGATTAGGCAATATAAGCAAAGCACAACAATATATAGGACAAACTTTGTTAAAGTGTATGCAGATATATATAAGGTCATAGGAGATATTTTTATTCTATTTAATAATTATTATTAATGAAATTACAAAATAAGATCATTACTATATTAATAAAATCTTTTCCCTGTCAAAGATCACACCTATTTATTAATTTCTTTATATCTGCTAAAGAAAGAACTCATTAATCAAAGAAATCATTAAATCTAACCTCCTGTTAACAGAATTGATTTTCATTATTATACCTTCTTATTGATATTAATATCATTAATATCTAAAAAAGAGAGAATTAATTTTTTGTTATTTATCTAAAAAAAAGAGAATCAATTTTTCATTATTCATACCTTCTTATTGACATCTATTAATATTATTATCATTAATATCTAAAAAGAAGAAGTTAATTTTTTGTTATTTATTATTATCTATATATTAATATTATTATCATTGACATCTAAAACGGAGAAAATTAATTTTTCGTTATTCGTACCTTTCCCATCAATATTAATCATTTTTTGTTTCTTATCAATATCTATTAATCATGCATTTTTCCTTTTCTGCCATAGTCATTCTAACCCTTAGAAACAAAAAACTTAGTTTGATTATTTGACATAAACACAATAAAGCACTATTATATCTAAGAGTCAAAAGTTTAATTTTTGTTTTTATTTGAATTTACAAAGTTCGAATTCTCTCGCTATAATTTATTATATAGAAGTGGTGACGTCATTAATAACTGAAGGTATAACTTTGAACAGGCCATTCTTTTCCGTTTCCTTAACAAACTATAGCTGAAATTTTGCAATGTGATAAACTAAATCTCAAGCAACATATGTACAAAGAAGAATCATACTCCCTGTTCAGAAAAGTCATGTGTTTTACTAAAAATTTCTTTCGATTTTTAATAGTAAAAATCGAAATGTTTCACAAAAATTACACAGATATATCTATCCCGTGAAATCACGAATGACTGTTATAGTTATCAATTAAAAAAACGTGGAATCATCCTTTTTTTTATTGTAAAATTTATTTGTTCTACATTTAAAGTTAGCTTTATTTCAGATCACAATTGAGAGTAAAAGTTTTTTTCTATGAATAAAGTGTTTAATTCAAAAAGGAATAAAATTATTCAAGAGAAAGATTCATACAGTGCAGATCATCTATAATCATTAATTGCTTATGGTAACAATTGGTCAACTTCAAAATACTAAAACAAAAAAAAATTATATCATTTTAAAAAATTTAACCGATAAGTTTTA